TGAATTTTGTTCCACATTTTTCCTCCCACTTTATCCAGGATCTCCAGTTTTGATCCCTTTCTGAGTGGTTGGCATTGGAAGCCAGGCACCATCTAGTTCTTCTGGTCTCAAGGTTCATCACATCCTTGGAGTAATTATTTCCAAATGGCTTTGATTTTCTTCACCCTTCTTTGCTTCGGATGACAGGAGACCAATAGTTGCATCTTGAGTGCCTCTCAAAAGCTTTTAAGACCCCAGTTGCTACTCACCAAAGTAGATTGTGGAACAAGATTTTTATGTACTATGTTGTGCCAATTGACCTTGGTGTCCCCCAATACTTATGGTTTTGAGTTGGCAGGTCTGGTGATTCTCTTTTTCAAGGTGTTTGGTTGTCTCTGAGAGGTTACTCCAATTCTGTCTTCTGTTGCTTCTGCAATGAATGTGGCTAATTTTGTATCACTAGTATCTATGTAAGATTATCTTCAACTAGATCTATCCTTGGTCTAAGGTACATCCTTGTTCACCGACCCCCACATGATCTTCTCAGTTGTCTATGTACTTGTCTCCTCAGTTGTCTATTATCTATAGCCTGGTGTTTGGTGTTAGTGGTAATGCAGTATTGTGAACATACTAGAATTTGCCTCTGTTATCTTTATCTTATATGTACATTTCAGTGTCCTTCCTCTCCCCAGTGTCGTCATGCTGGTCAGACTCTTACCATACCATCTCTTCCCTTACCCTAAGCAACATGTGATCCCCAACTATGAAAATTTTCCTCCCCTTCCCTCCCATCCCTAGTAACCTACAAAGTGAGTTCCCTTCCCAAAGCAAACCCCTCCTTGACTTTTCACAATAATTGGCTCATACAGTATTTCTCCTTCTGCAATTGACTTATTTCACTCAGCATATTGTCCTCCAAATTCATCCATGTTGTGAGATGACTCACATATTTTTCAATATTCTTTAATGTAGCATAGTATTCCATTTTGTGAATGTACCATAATTTGGTTATCCATTTATCTGTTGATGCCATCTAGCTTGTTTCCATTTCTTAGCTATATGAATTGTGGTGCGATGAATATGGTGTGAATATGTCTGTTTGTGTCCTGTCTCTTACCTCTTTAGGATATATTGCTAGTAATGGAATTGCTGGATCAAATGGTATTTCTATTTTCAGTTTTTCAAAGAAACGCCATACCATTTTCCACACTGGTTGTACCATTTTGCAGTCCTGGAGCACTTTGTCAAGACGTTCTCGACTCTGTGTTTCCCATTTTGCAAAGTGCTCTTTTGCCATAATAAACTCTACGTTTTAAATAGCCTTGTAGTTTTTTCACTATGACATTTCAAACCACTGACTTGAGTGCACCTGAGCCCTTAACCACTGGGCCACCAGAGCTCCTTCCTAGAGCCTATGATGCTGAATTAAATTATAAGGAACCTGATGCCTTTAATATTGATTAGTGCAAAATTAATTAGAAGGACAGCACAAGGGTCTATACACTTATATAATTTCTTTGGTATAAGTGTCAACCTAATGCAATAAAGAATGTCTTAAAAATTACTTCTATGAATCTCCAAATCAAGGGAACAGACTTCACAGTGCCACCATCAAGTATTATTTATTGTACAATACAACCTGCAAAAGGTGGAACCTGTGCAAGGTGGGAACATGGCAGAGAAGAAAACTCAAATATTTTCCAGTAAAATGAGTGATAGAAAACTGGAAAGACTGCATCCTGTCAAAGGTGGAAAACTTGTGAGGCCCAGAAAAACAAAGCACCCCCTTTGAGTTCCAGCTCTCACTGTATTATATTTTTGGCATTGTATTTTTAATTGAGATTTTCACAACTGGTATATATTTGGAGGATTAATAAGGAAGACAACAGGTTCACCTCTGCATTCTAAACATGTATAATTAAGTACAGAAGGCAGAACCAGAATCAAAGCATGGCTGAAATATGCAGGCAGCCATTGGTTCAGTAAAAGGATTCAATTTCAACAAACGATAATTATCGATAAGATCTGTTTAACATATCCTCTTCTCTGAATATGTTTAGGTAGAGGGTGAGGGCAATCTGGCTGAGATCTTGTTGGTAGGAATTTCCTGCTCTCAGTCCAAGGCTGGCAACTTCTAGGAATCCTGTCAATCTCTTAGTGTGGACTGGAGTTCTCAACCAAGGCCATGTAGCAGTAATGTCCCTGCAAACTATAGAGTGTGGGCTATGTAAACTACTTGAGCCCCAAAATAGGACTTTTGTGTTCTTATAGGAAGGGCAGATTTTGGACATCAATGTGCTTTAGGAAGCAATGTTTTACCCAAAACCCCCAAACCAAACCCACTGCTAATTGATTCCAACAGAATAGAACCGCCCCATTGGGTTTCCAAGGCTATAACTTTACAGAAGCAGACTGCTACATTTTTCTCCTTTGAGTGGTTGGTGAGTTTGAACACCTGGCCTTTGCTTAATAGCCAAGTGCTTAACCACTGCACCACCAGGGCTCCTCCATGTCCCTAACCAAACTGAAAAACCACACTCACTTCCATTGAATCGATTGTGACTCAGTGACCCCATAGGATGGAGTAGAATTGCCCCTTTAGGGTTTCCAAGGCTAGAAATCTTCACAGAAGCAAATTCCCTCATCTTTTTCTTGTGGAGCTGCTGGTGGGTTTTAACTGCCAACCTTTTGGTTAGCAGCCAAATGCTTTAACCACCACGACACCAGAGCTCCTTAATGTCTTAACACTGAAAGTAAATTAAGCTATACCAAGTTTGTCCCAGCTCAGGACCTAGAAGGGGCACTGGCCAGCAGATACATTATAGTGGATCACACAAGAATCTTTGGGATTCTACATGACCAGGCTGTAAGATACAAATCAATAGTGGACTGGTTTGACTTAATTCTATTCTAAAGTCCATCTGGGAGTCTTTAATAACATAGAAGACATATGGTCTTCAACAGAGGTACTCATTATCTTTTGAAGTAAGCGTGGGATGCTCAAATATCTAATAGGAAAAAAACATTCTGACGTCATTTGTATTCCAAATTTCTGAAGCAGGTCCTACATATTATTTTAGCTTTGTAACTGGCCAAACCTTTTCCTTCTGAGGCTTTGGGTCAGCATCAGCAAAATAGTATGTAGTAACTCATGAGGTTTTTGTGGAACAGTGATAATGACAATGATATTTATAGAATAAGGATTAATTTCAGCTGATTTTAGTACACCACACCTAATATAAAGGAGCTCTGGTGGTATAGTGGTTAAGGCACTTGGCTCCTACCCAGAAGGTCGGTGGTCAAAACCCACCAGCTGCTTGGCAGGAGGAAAACGAGGCAATCTATTTTCCTCAAGATTTACAGCCTTGGAAACCCAATGGGGTCGGATTTGATGGCAGTGGTTTTGGTCCTGGTTTTTGGTACCTAATGTAGGTTATAGGCGCTCTGGTGGCATAGTGTCTAAGAGATTTGACTGCTAACTAGAAGGCTGACATTTCAAACCCACCAGCCACTCCTCGGAAGGAAGGTTTCCTTAGTGACACCACCTGGGTATGGTAGCTGTACCAGAGAAAAACATGAGAAGGGCACCCCTCACCCCCTGATAAACAGGATGCACCTGAGAAAAACACCCCTCATTCCCTGATAAACAGGATGCACCTGAGATAAACAGTGTCCCGAGCCTCTGAAACAAAGAGAATTAAAAAAAAACAATTTCCATGTGTCAGGAAGTAATCCTAACCTATATAACTCGGCGTCTTGGGAGAATAAGGCATTGCAGCCTAGGAGCGCGCTTCAGCTCCCTGCAGTCGGCTAGCCTGAATAAAACCTTTTTCTAAAAAACGCGAACATTATAGTGGCTATTATTTTAATTGGAACCCATAACATTGGAAACCCAAGGAGGGGTCGCTTTGAGTCGGATCAGACTCCACGGCAGTGCAGTGTGCTTGTTTGCACTTACAGTAGGTTATTGACATCATTTAACAAGTGAGGGTCCATGACTTTGAGTAATCAGTTCATATATGTCCTGTTGGTACCATCTTTGTCTCTGGTCTACGTGATTCCTACGACTGAGCTTTTCCCACAAAGTAAAGTGCCATCAGGCTCGCTTCATATTTTGGATGAGGAACAGAATACTGTAGCCATATGCCCCTCCTCGAGTTCGCGATTCCAGACCAGAGGGCTCTCTTGTCAGAACGTGACTGTTTACATACTAGATGTTGTTGTTAGCAGCCCATTGTACAACGGAAGGAAACATTGCCTCGCCCTGGGCCATTATCACCACTGCTCGACCATTGCTCTGCTTGAGCCCATTGTTACAGCCACTCCGTCAATCCATCTCCTTGAAGGTCTTCCACTATTTTGCTCACCTTCTACTTTACCAAGCATGATGTCCTTTTGTCCATGGTCTGGTCCCCTCTGATAATATGTCCAAGCTATAGGAGAGAACTCTCGCCACCTTCTCTTCAAAGTAGAATTTGCAGCGCTCTACAAATCCACCTCTCGCCAGACTCCACCCCTAGCCTGGGGGATGGGTGAGGGTGGGTGGGAATAGGGCTGGGTGACCCTGGAGATGACGTATATTGGGCGTGCTGCGTAATCCCTGACGCAAAAGCGGAGACGTGGAGGCGGGGACTGAAGTGGGCGGACATAGCTGTAGATGTGGGGCGTGGTCGGCTGTAGAGAGCTGGCCTGTAGGCGGGGTGGTGGGTGAACCGGTTTGCGGCGTCAGGCGGGACGCGAAATCCTTAACCTCTCACAGGCCACTGAAGACGCAGGCCTCTAGGAGTGTCGTGGTCCGTGCGGTTGGTGCGGTGTGTGGACCCTAACCTGTAGTCCTGCTAAGTCTCCGCGGCTCCAGATTTGTTTGCATTCTTCTATTCTCTTCGTCGTCGCTGGCACCGCCGCCCAACCCCCAGGCCGCTGCGGGCTGCGGTGCCCATGCGGGCGCGGGCCCAGCTGCCGCCTTCGCGGCGTTGCCCTCGTCCCGGAGCGTCCTGAGCTGGCACGGCCATGACCACGACATGAGGGTGGAGCTGCCGCCCGAGCCGGAGGAGCAGGTATCGCCGGAGCTGGAGGCAAGAGCCATGCTTGAGAAGCGCACGGGTGCGCAGGCCGCGGGTGGCAGCTCGGTGAGCGCTCGCGTGTGTTGCCGCGCGTCCCCTTCAACTCTGAGGCCCCAAGTCAGGAGAAGCTCAGGGTGGAGGGAGTTTCGCGTCGCGGCTGAAGTGGGGAGTGAAGACCTGGGAGTCGAGGCCCGTCTGCTTGCTGTGGCCGGCATTGATGGAGGGAGAGAAGATCAGAAGGGAGCGCGCCTGCCACCTCTCGGAAAGCTCCTCCTTTTTAAGGGTCGAAGTCATTAGTAATAAGCATTGCTGGTGGTTTCTCATCATTAGACAGAACGTTAAAGTAGATAATTTGGTTATTGTTTAAAAAAGCACCAAACATGGGACAGTTCATATAAGTAATTGGGTTATTTCAGAATTCTCCATACATGTGACAGTTGATAGAAATTTTATGGTGCAATTTCTGGCCGAGAGTGCTTAGACAGGCCCTAAACGTTACCAGATAGCTGACAGGGAAGTTGTAGGCTGAGCAGCTTCTGCTTCCTGCCTACCTTCTCATTCTCCAGGCTGGTTGGAGGATTGGTCAGGCGGAAGGGGAGCAGAAATTACTCGGAAACTGCAACCCCCAGGATCCCGCTGAGGAGCATGTTCAGGTCAATCTCTTTTTCTAGTTTTACGTGAGATTGGGTGGGTTCTGAGAGCAGTACAGGCAAGCCCAGATTTAATTGGTCAGGATTCAGCAAAATAGGCCGGTCAGCATAACTTTGGGTCTTCACGGTGGCATACTAAGCATAAAGAATTTGTATTAAAAGTTTGCCATTTCTTCAAGGCCCAACTTTAGAAAGGAGATATATATATATATATAGATATATATATAGTCCATTTAGCACATGAATGATACTAGAAAACGCATGGAGGTTTAGTTTACATATCTAATTTTGTTTCTAGTTAAACAGCATATGCATCTTTGGTGATGTGAATCACCATTAGTGTTGGGAGGATGAGCGAAATTGAAGGAGCAGTGATTAGAATGGAGTCAGCAGAGCTGGTTTCTAGTCCTAGGTTCTAACAGAACCAATATGCACTCTAAGTAGGGTACCCACATCTGCCTAATCCGTAAAGTGAGGCTTGGTAATATTGAAGGCCCCTCCTAGCCCAAGTGATACCTTGTTTTTTTATTTTTTAATAAAACATTGGAGTCCCCTTTCTTCAAAGACAAGGTTGGTAATATGGGAAGCTTCTTTGCAGAGGGAGAGAAATTCTGTAGAATTGGCTTCTCATGTAAAAAAATAGACTTGTCATTTCTCTGTCCCCTAAACAGAACCAAACCACCAGCTCCTCCTGTCTTCTTTGAGGTGATGGAGTTACGAAACAGTAGAAAAGCTAGTAAAAGGGGTTCTGGTGGTGCAGTGATTAAAGCACTCGACTGCTAACCAGGTCAATGGTTTGAACCCACCATCTGCTCTGCAGGAGAAAGATGAGACAGTCTGCTTCCATAAAGATATAAAGCCTTGGAAACCCTTTGAGGGGCAGTTCTGCTCTGTCCTAAAGGGTCTCTATGAGTCTAAACTGACTGAATGGTGGTTGGTTTGCTTTTGGTTAGTTAAGCTAGTACCTGATAGTTAGCAATGCATACCTTCCCAGACCTATAACATGCCCCTAAATTTGGCCCCCTACATAGAAAGTTGCTTGAAATACTGACTGCAACAACAGACTTGAGCGTATCAACAGTCGTGAAGATTGTTCAGGATTGGGCAGTGTTTCACTGTTGTACATGGGATGAGTATGAGTTATTTCTCAATAATATATTTTGCATGGGTAATTGAATGGTCAGATTTTTTTTTTTTTAAACTTACTGTGATATAGGTGAAAGTTTACAAAACAAATTCATTTTACATTCAACAGTTCATACACGTTTTGTGACACTGGTTACATTTCCCACAGTGTAACAGCTCTCTTCCCACTTCTTTGCTGTAATTGCCCTTTTCCCTGTGTCTTTTTTGCCTATGCATTCCTGCCTCCTTACCTTTCTCCCTGTGCAAATGCTGTCCTTCTGATCTCCCATGGTTGGTTGTTGTAAGGAATGCATCTCCCTGGTGTAGGTGTTTGGCTCCTACTATCTACTGTTTGGGAGCTCTGGTAGCATAGTGGCTAAGGCACCTGACTGCTATCCAGAAGGCTGGCGGTTCAAACCCACCAGCCACTCCTCGGAAGGAAGGTTGGGCAATCTACTTCCGTAGTGATACTGCCTCGGAAACCCAAGGAGGGGTCACTCTGAGTCAGGTCCGACTTGACGGCACATAACAACAACAACAACCTACTGTTTGTCTGAAAGTTAAGTCATGGGAGTGAGTTCAATTCCAGGCCCAAGGGTGACTCAGCTATATTCTTTGGAATTTCACCAATTTCTGTCAGACCAGTAAGCTTACTCTTTTTTTATTGTTTTGAGTTTTGTTTCACATTTTGCTCCCACTCTATCCAGTATCTCTAATTTTGGGTGGTTGATAGTGGTAGCCAGGTATCATCTAATTCTTCTGGTCTGAGGGTCATATAGGCTGAGGTTCTCATGGTCCATTAGTCCTTTGGACCATTTCCAGGTGTCTTTGGTTTTCTTCACTTTTCTTTACCCCAAATGAGGACAGACCAGTGTTGTATCTTAGATGGCTGCTTGCAAGCTTTTAAGACCCTGTCGCTACTGACTGAAGTAAGTTGTAAACAGTATTTTTGTTTACCATATTGTGGCAATTGAGCTTGATGTCCCCTGCGAGATTGGTCAGAATATTTAGGTTATCCCCAGACTGCAATAAAAGTATTCAGTTCTCCCATTTCCTAACCTAGGCAGGGACTAGAGTCTAACCTTAAAGTTGCTAATTTATATGCTTTTGTGGAATATTTGCTCACAGAAACCTGTTGTTGTTAGGTGCTGTTGAGTCAGCTCCAACTTGTAGTGACCCTATGTACATCAGAACTAAACACTGCTCAGTCCTGTGCCATCCTCACAATCCTTGCTATACTTGAGCCCATTGTCGTAGCCACTGTGTCAGTCCATTTCATTGAGGATTTTCCCCTTTTTCTCTCTCTAAGAAGTATGATCTCCAGGGAATGATCCTTTCTGACAACATGACCAAAGTAGGTGAAGCGAAGGCTGGCCATTCTTGCTTCCAAGGAACATTCTGGCTGCACAAGAAGAAGAACCAAGATTTGTTTGTTCTTCTGATAGTCCATGGTATTTTCAGCATCCTTCAGCAACACCACAATTCAAAGGCATCAACCCTTCTTCCGTCTTCCCTGTTCATTGTCTAGCTTTCACATGCATATGATGTGACTGAAAATACCATGACTTTGTTAGGCACACCTTACTCTTCAAAGTGACTTCTTTTTGGTCCAGTTGTGAGGATTTTTGTTTTCTTTATGTTGAAGTGTAATCCATACTGAAGACTAGTCTTTAGATCTTCCTCAGTAAGTGCTTCAAGTCATCTTCACTTTCAGCTAGCAGCGTTGTGCTGTCTGCATATTGCAGGTTTTTAACGAGTCTTCCTCCAGTGTTGATGCTACATTCTTCATATAGTCCAGCTTCTCAGATTATTTGCTCAGCATACAGATTGAAAAAGTGTGGTAAAAGGATATAATACTAACGCACACCCTTCCTGATTTTAAACCATTTGGTATCCCTTTGTTCTGTTCTAATGACAGCCTCTTGATCTATGTACAGGTTTCCCATGAGCATAATTAAGTGTTCTGGAATTCCTTTCTTCTCAGTGTTAACCATAATTTTTTATGATCTGCATAGAAACCTAGACACACTTTATTTTCTGATTCCTTCTCTTGACTCCCTAGCTCTTCTGCTAATTTTGGCTACCAGTAGATTCCTGCATAGTCTTTTTTTGTTTGTGAGGTAATAGCGTGGAGTTAGTATTGATAAACTGCTTGGGATACTGAGAGTGAATTTTCTTGGGAGCTCTGCTGGTGGAGCACCTAAGGCATTTGACTGCTAACTAGAAGGCAGACAGTTCAAACTCACCAGCCAGTCCTCGGAAGGAAGGTTGGGCAATCTGTTGTCATAGTGATACTGTCTTGGAAACCCAAGGAGAGGTCACTATGAGTTGGATCTAACTTGACGGTGATGTTGGACCAAACGTGGGTCCCTGCCCGGTGCTCAATTAGGCCAAAACAGTTTACACACCAAGTGATGAACAGGAGAGAAAATTACTTATTGCAAAGCAGCAATGCAAGGAGACACGGGCAGTTGGGATACAGTATAAGTTTCAGGAGAGGAGTGGTTATACATATTCATAAAAACTTAAGGAATTTGGGTGTGAATTAACTGAGGATTGGTTGATACCTCCTTCGCCTCAGTTTAAAGGGACAATCATTTTTAATGCAGTGCGCTTGCGCACTGGATGAGTCACACCGGCTTTCTTTCATCAACTGATTGGGGGCTTGGGCAGAGGGAAGAATGTCAGTTCCCAGCAACTTTGTTCCTGTTTGTCTTACTGCGGATGTCCGCGGGCGGAGGTTAATTTTCAAGTTGTCTCCTGAAACGTGTTAAGGTACTTCTCACCTGTTTCTAGGGGGATAACATGGAGAGAATGTGTAAATTGACCTTTCATTCCATTCAGTTCTTAAGGAACTGATTTATCATGTTTATTTCTTTGTCTTCAGCTGAGGTCCTGTCTGTCTTTACCCGGGTGGGAGGTGATGATAGTTGAGCTTTCATTCCATTAAGTTCTTAAGGAACTGAGTTACCATATTTACTTGTTATACTTCAACCAGGGATGCAGACTGAACTTTGACTCCACTTGGTTTCAACGGTAGTGAGTTTGGTTTTTCTTCCTTTTTTTTTTTGTACTTAGTGAGATGACTAAGACATGCAGTGCAGTGTTCAGGCACTAGTGCATTTCTCAGTTTGTGTAAGTTGGGAGTTAATTTCACTTTCAGTTTCATTTCATTGCAAATGCCTCTTCAGAGAAGAAAAAAAAATGCTGTTGCCTTTGAGTCAATTGTAATGTATTCTATATGGTTTTCTTGGCTGTAATTATTACAAAAACAGGTAACTAGACCTTTTC